TTCCCCCATCCCACCCCCGCCCCGGGGTTTCCTCCCCACCCCCGAGCTAAGGCACAAAGCGGTGAGGCCAGGTGAGGCCGCAGAGAGGTGGAGCCGCCACGCGGCGACGCTGCCGCCGCCACTACCGTTGTCCCGGGCGAGGTGTGCCTGCTCGCTGCCGCCGCCGCTCCCCAAGGGTGCGGGTCAGGGCCGCGCAGCAGCAACCAGGCAGGCGGACAGGGGGTGCTCTAGGTGGGAGAGAAACGATCGATGGTCCGGCCGTCGGGTCCGGCGGCCAGATGAGCGCCCTGGCTCAGCACCTCCGCCGCCTTGTCGGGGCTGAGACCCAGCTCCGCGGTGAACTTGGCCAGCGGGTAGAGGCTCTCGAGCGCCACCTTGGGGTCGTGCAGGAAGTGCGTGGTCTGCGCCAGCAGCTCGGCCGCGGCCGCCTTGTCCTGCTGCTTCAGGCTCAGCTGTTCGGCCGTGAGACGGGCCACAGCAAAGACGCCCTCGGGGAAGTCGAGCTTGCCCTTGCCATCCGGGCCAGGGACGCCAGGGAGCCCCCCCAAGCCCGCCAGCGCCCCGGCTGCGCCGGCCGCGCCACCCACGGCATGCATCTTCATGTGGCTGATGAGGTTGCGTTGCTGTGCGAACTTGCCGCCACACACCTGGCACTCGTAGGGCTTCTCGCCTGAGTGGATGCGCATGTGCTCAGTGAGGCGGTACTGGCGTGTGAAGCGCATGCCGCACGCGTCGCACGCGAAAGGTTTGAGGCCCAGGTGGCTGCGCATGTGGCGCGTCATGGTCCCACGCTGCGTGAACTTCTTCCCGCAGATGGTGCATGGGTAGGGCCGGGTCAGCCAGTGAGTCTTCTCATGCTGCCGTAGCGTGGCCGGATCCTTGTAGCTCTTGTCGCACGACGCGCAGCGGTACGGCCGCAGCAGCTCTCCCAGCCCACCGGGAGCCCCAGCGACCTTGTCCCCACCGCCTACAAAAGGGGGCCCTAGGCCGGCGGCCCCGGCGGCCACTTCAGCGGCCTCCGCCCTGCCATACAGCGCTTCCTCCTCCTCCACGTGAGCCTCCACGTGCGCATTCAGCTGTTCTGAGCTGGGGAAGCCCTTGCCGCAAGGGATGCACACGTACAGGTTGTCCCCGAAGCTCTCTGGCTCGCCGTAAGCCAAGTGCGGGCACGGGTAGCCCTCGAGGTGGCCGCCGGGCGGGCTGGGGTCCTCGCTGCTGCCAGTCTCCTCGCTGCTGCTCTTGTAGTCGTCGCCGTCGCCGCCCGGGCCAGGCCCGTCCAGGCTGCCTGGGTAGCGCGGCGGCGGCGCCAGGCCGAGCGGGGGCCCCACTGGCGAGGCGATCGCGTCCCCACCACGCTCCGCGCAGCGCTCGCTGGGGGAGCCGCGCTCCCTGCCCAGCTCGTCGCCGTAGCTTCCCAGGCCCGGCTCGTGCT